ATATAAATGAAAAAAATCATGCGTACAATAATGAAACGATTGACTTGATAAAAGTTATTGATAGCAAAGAGATCTGGGAAAGTATAAAAAACGAATTTAAAAATGATGTCGTAACAAAAATGGACTTCAAATTATTACCGGCACCATTTGAAGGGGACAATCAATATTATAATAGTAAAAATAAAGATAAGTTATTATATAACAAATGTAACAATACAGAAAATTTACAGCCTGGTTATACAATTAATATAACACATCTAAACAGCCGTAAAATTGAAATAATTGACACTATATTTGCTGATGAATCATATGTTTTGAAGAAAAATTTACATAACCTAAAAACTGGAGTCAAAATATCTAAGTGCTTAGAGTTTGGAGAACTAGTTTCTTAAGAAGAATCTTTTAAAATTCAAGAACTGAACAGTTCGAAAAACTTGAGACTCCTTCATAATTTCAACGGCATTAATTATGGAATTGATGAAAAATTTATCAATGATGATCATATGTTTGTATTATTACAAGTCTGCAAGTTTGCAAGTGTATCGTATGTTAATTTAACACTAACCGAAATAGTTGACTTGAACACTTTAATTGCAGAACGTAAAAATTATACTTTTATAAATAAGGATGTTTTGTTTTACAATTTGAAGAAAAATGAAACACATTGTATATCATCGATTTTTAAAGGCGATTGTCTATATCAGGTTTGAGATAAAATTACAATTAGTCGTTGAAATAGTACTTGATTCAATAAAATTGTCTTCACAGTTTCACTTTTGTTTCAAAATATTCAATTTTCATTGAGAACACTAACTTTAGAAGATTTTTACTTTAGCGCAGCAATTTACTGTTTTCTAAAAATTCTTAAATTTCTGCTACTTTTTATCCTATGAAAAAGTTTTCAAAAGTTTCAGAATATATTGATGCAACAATTTCTCTTTTTTAAAAGATTTTCTTGTTTTTTTTTAAATTAAGAAACTCATTCTTAATTGAAGCATATAAAGTTTTTAACGATGCGAAAATAAAATTATTGTTATTTTTCGAGAATTATTCTTGGATGAAGAATTTTTCGTATCCACGAAAAATAGTACACTTTTTAAATAAAAACCCTGATAGCCATGCTAAATGAAAGTTGCCTCTGCAACTTGACGTCAAGAAAACGTGCAAGTTCTTTCAGTAAAGTTGTAATAAAAAGGTTGACTACAAGCTAGATGTTAACTTACATTCCAATTCTCGCCGTAGATTTTTATTAAATTGTTAAGAACTTTGATTCACAAAGACTTTTCGTAAATTTCACGATAACTTTACTAAACGTCACTGAACTGTGCATGTTCTTGCACAGAAAGTGAGGTTATCAGGGAAATCCATACTCATCGGCTGCCGGATAGAAAGATCTTCATTTTAGAAAACGATTTCTTGAAGCAAGACTACCCAGTTAGCACGAGTTGACGATCAACTAGTTGATGTTCAATGGTTTATTATGTCAACTTTATGAACTTCGCGTCAACTTTTGGATTTGCAACAATTTCCCAGAACTGGACTCTAATTTACGCATCAAGTTAGCGTAAATCTACTGCCGAAATTTTCCGAAAAGTTCGCTCAAAGTTAACGCGAAGTTGCAAAAAGTTAACGTTAACTTCACGTCAACAGTTATAAGCACAACTGTTGCCTGGTATCAGGCGTTATTATCCCCGGACAAAATATCCCCATGTCAAAATATCCCCCGACAAAATCCGTCTTACTGTTAGCGTAAACTTTACGTCGAATTCCGGCAGCAGATTTACGTGAACTTCGTTTCATTTGTGCTAACTGGGTACTGATTAATTCAATATTATTTCTTTTTAATTCACTTAGTTATTATAATTATTGCTTTACTTGTACACTTTCTCGGTTCTTACAAGGCTGATATTGCTCTTTCTCCTAGTTCTACAAAGCTTTATTCTCTTTTCTCATTTTGGACCTTAGCACATCCCACCCGACACTTCATTTTAATTTTTTTGCGGCTGTGGACCGACTTGTGCTTTCTGTAGTGCATTTGCCCTATTCTTCACCTCTTCCTAAGTTCTTGGAATAGTGACATGAGAAAACCACAGAGAAAAACCTATGCCAGTACAGTCGTAGCAGGGTTAAGCGTACAGTAATCGATAAGAAACTCTTCTTTATCGAGTACCGGAACATTAATCCCCTCTCATAGCGCACAGAGATCTACGCGTTAGCCAGCGTTGACTAGGCGGTCACCCATCCAAGTACTAAATACAGTAAATGCTGCTTAGCTTGGGTGATCGCCAGAGTCAGACGCGTGCCTTTTTTTTATTTTATATAAGTTTGTTTTATTGAACCCTTAAAAAATAAAATACATTTCAGGTATATTACAATGCTTAACTTAAACAAACAAATAGCTTATTTTACAGTCTTAGTTTTATGAACACAATATGGCCAGCTTTGGCATCGCATTGCAGTGAGCATTATTTTTTTTTTTGTTTTCATTGTTACATGGATCTTACAATTGTTTTTTAGGATGTACATTTTATATAATAAAATACATTCATTTTTCACTTAATTAGTAGTGGAGAAAAAAGGGTTAAACTCCAATGATACTTTTCATTTTTTTTTTTCCTTAAATGCTAATCTAATAACTAAAAATAAAAAACTATTACTAAAACTTAAATCTAGATATAATACATTTGTACAATTCAGGTAGTGAGAAAATTATTCCAGCCACCAGTATTTTTTTTTATTATTGCGGTGATTATTCTTTCTGTCTTTACTGGGGATTGTCTTGTCAAATCGCCACTGTGGGTTGTTTGTTGTCGTGTCTAAGTTAGGCTCGTATAAAATTGCAGTTTGCATTTTTTTTTCTCAGGTAATGGTATATTACGGGTACGTTGTTATTGTCTTGTAGGTAGTTGTTCCGGTCCAGGTAGAAGAAACCTTCTGGAGGGATATACCCAATTTTTAATGCTTTTTCTATGTAATTTTTATTTGGCGATAAAAATTTATTAATATTTGAATTAGTTGATATTTTTGATGTATTAGCCCAGTGGTTTCGTATTAGTTGTAGTATGTGATGTGAGAGTCAGACGCGTGCCGCGTGGCTATCTCTGCCGCTTTTAATTCACTTAGTTTAAAAAGAAATTACTTTTTTCAGATATTAGTCTATTCTCAACACACATGCAAGAACGTAGAAAACCAAAATTCTATAATTGAACAGACTCCAGTCAACGTTGGGCGAATCTTATCTATCAGTAACAACCATACGCTTGAGGATCGGGTAGAAAGCCATTTGAAGCACGATGATAATTATGAAACTTTCAGTATTTTGAAATTAAAAGATAATGAGACCTTGTATAACACAATCGTGAATCAGCTCAACAATCAAGTTACCGTCGGCCTTGAATTACATGTGTTGGAACCTGATTAAAATAGGATTGAGTCATGATTCTTTATTGTAAATTATTTTATAACATTTTTTTTTTATATACACACTTCAGAAGTAGATTTAATTGTTTGGATAATACTAATGAATTTATTTTTATATAATGACAGGAATGTCCAAGCACTTAGAGGTGTTAATTGTCAATTGATTAAAATGTCTAGATAATTAAATCATCAAACAATTTTGTGTTGAAGTAATATGATTATACTCTTAAAATTAAAATGTATATTTTAATTGATAATAAAAGTCAATAATAAGTAGCCCATTGGTTTTAATTAATCGTATACACTTTTTACTTTTATAAAAATGCGTATAAATAGTAGTCAATATACGAATTTTTACGATGTAACATCTTGAATTTTTAAATATAAAATTGCGAAAGTGAAGACATTGAAAGTCTGGTCCTTGATTACGATGTTACCATTGTAATTTTTCCTACAATTTTTTTTCGTGTACACACACCAAATACCCTGATAAACAATGTGTTAGAACTCGAGATTATTCATATGAAACGTGACATTTAAAACCGATAACTAATTTTTATATCTCGTAGAATCATGTGTTGAGAAAGATTCTTTTGTCAGAGCTTATGCAAAAGCCATAGCTACTGGCGTCTACTTATTTTGCGTATGACTTAAAAATTGTTATGTCTATGACTTATTGCTCATAGTTGTATGCAAAAGAAGCTTGCAGCACATGTTTGCGGATGACTTGAGAAAGGATGGAGTAACAGAGATATATGATTTACTATGAAATGATAGAGACAAATTATTGTCAAAGCCTTGCACAAGATTGGCAATTTTTATTTGTCACAATTATTTGCAATATTCTCGAGATTCTAGATCAAAAATGACGCTACACTAAGAAGAAAATTTGTTTCTCTGAACTAGGAAAATCTAGTCAAATAGCATCAATACTATTTAATTGAAGTTCTTATACATAAAATTATTTATTATATTGAACCCCAACAAGTAGTTACTTAAACTAATATTTTTAGTTAAATATTGGCTTAGTAGTCATCTTGATTCACTTTAACTCAGAAAATAAAAAAAATAATTCGGACAGCCCGGGCCGGGAATCGAACCCGGATCTTTTGGTTAGACATCAAGGGCTCTTCCTGTTTAGCTATCTCGGAGACATCGTTCGAAACAACTTTTCAGTTACCTAATAATTTGCTGTTTAGCACGATACAGAAAAATATTTATTAAAATATCGTCCATACAACTATTTATCAATAGTTATTTCAACTAATGCATAACTCGAGTAACTCCAAAAAAGAAGTTCAGAAATCTATATTTTTATACTTGTGACGTTATAATTCAGCTAACTGTGCACTTTTTTCTCAGTGTAGAAACTATTGAACGTGAAAGCAGTTTTATTGCACAAGCCTTGTAAAAGATTTTTATAAAGAATATTAGATAGAAAAAATGATTCATATCTCATATATAAATCACGTATTTGTAGTTTAATTTATTTTTTTTCTTTTATTATTTATTAGATAAAACAATTAATCGAAATTTTAAGTAATTAATAGTCATTAATAAATAAAGTGAAAATAACAATCATGAGTATTACAGTCCTGGATAAAATGAATGCCAGTAAATATGTAAAAAACTGGATTACCTATGATATGATAGAACTATTACACAAAAAATATCCTCATATCATATCACACTTAACTTATGACATTCGGCGTGCAACAAAAAAGGATTTTTATTTTCCCGACGAATTATCCAAGAGTCCCCATTACCCAATAGTAGTGACTTCGAGGGTAGGAAAAACATTATGTGAGTTAATATCGTGTAATCCACAGACGAATTCAGGACCCTGCACACAGACATCAAAACCGCAAAGTTATCCAGTGGGTGATGATGGAAAGAAAGATGTATCATGCCAAGCGTCATGCTTCAATTTGTTCCCAAAAAACGAACAAACTGGTCACCAGATTCAATTGACTACGACATATCACAAAGACCAGTGCATTCTTATTGATGGATCAATAAAGGCATTTATGGAATTTCCAAATACTCGTGCAGCTAAACCGGAAACTCGCATCACCGATATTCCATGTGGATTTAATAGAAGTGATCATGAGCATCCTTACTCATATAGCGGCATCAGATATCATTACAACAAAACATACTGTGATTCGTTCTTCGACGAATTCGATGAAGATAAAAAAGTTTGCTACGTTCATTGGTCTAAAAAGTATATCGGGAATGTTATACTCGGTGAGTATATTATAAAAGCATGTCAAGCATTAGATCGGTACGTTTGGACTGGCTCAACACTACCGGGAAACAATATGAAGTTCAATGACGTTGAAGCGGACTCCAAATATCTCTTAAAAAATTGGTTAGAGAATATTGACAGTGGTTTTGAAACTCCTCAGAAAAAACTCGACAATCTACCAGCTGAAATACCGCAATATCCTGATAATATCCAACCCGAAAAATCATTCATCAAGGGTATTTCGCGGGTCATGGATAATTTGCATAAACCGAAACCAGAAATAAGTTTGGATGCAGATAAACGCCAGCGTTTGGAAGAAAAAGCAAAAACATACTCAAACAACGGCTCTCGACCTAAAAGATCATCTTCCGATTCAATTCAGAATCCTGAATTTATCATGGGTTTCATAACTCAATTAACACATCAAGAATTTTGGAGAGATTTGGCTTTAGGTTTAGGATATGATGGAGCTTTGTATTTAGTTAGATCGCTATTAAAAAAACTAGCTGAAAAATTGACTGAAAAATTTGCCACTAAACTTATAGGTAAGAAGATTTTTAAAATGGCTTTGGAACAAGGAATGTCCAGAGTAGCTAAAGCTATCGTCATCAAAATAGCATCCAAAGCAGCGATCGCTTTACTTAAATTAACGGCATCAGCACTAAATGTTGTCGGAGTTCTATTGAATGTTTTGATGGCATTTGAATTGCTACTATCTCTCGTAGATCCATTGAAATTAAACAATAAATATCCAGATGATTTTCTTGACGATCACATGTTTGCGGCTGAACAGAGAATTCGACAAGAAACTGGTTTGGTGAGGCCAGTGGTAACATTCGACTTCTTGGCAAATTATCTATTGTCACAAAAGGAATTCAGTGTTTTTCAAGTAAATTCTATTATATATGAAGCTGAGTATTTTCTTCATTTACGTGTTAATTCGCAAGGTTCTGTTATTGATCGTGGTGAAAAAATTGATCTTGAAAAAATTGACTTGAATATCGATGATTATGATTTTATAAATTTACGATTGTACTCACAACAAGACTTGTATAAATACGAAGTTGATCATATGAAACGTATAAAAGTTGTTGATAAGATTAAGAAAATCAATTATATCTGCACAGCTGCTTTAATTATTAGTTTAGTGTTGCAATATTTTCTGCTTGTTATTTTGATTATAATAACTATATGTGTTTTGACTTATGTGCAGTATACTGTACTTGGTGTAGAAGACGTTACTGAATTTGCTAATTTCTTCCTATGATAGCAATAGATTATTCTATATTTATTTACGCATTATGATTTTAAATATTCAATTTTATTTCCATATAATTAAGAATCATTAATCGTTGTTTACGGACATTGAATTTAATATTTAAGAATAATTATTAAAAAATGGAAAAATTTTTTTTTAAGTTATTTAATTTGTTTATTAAGAGATCAAGCTAGTTAGGAATTAAAAAAAAAAAAATATTTTCTTTTTTTATATTTTTCGAATAAGTACGTACATCTAAAAATAGGTTCTAGTTCGTTATATCCAATGCAATAAAATCCAATGGAAAAATATCCAGCAAAAATAACCAATGACAAAAATATCCAAATGAATAATATCCAATAGTAAAAATATGCAATTCAAATATATCCAATGCAAAATTTATTATTATTTATAACCAACAGTAAAATTATCCATTTAAAATATATCCAATGCAAAATTAAAGATTATTGATGTTCAATAAGATAAATATTCAATAACGAACGCATCGAATTCTAATATATATATCAAAATCAACTTTGATTCTTTTAGGACCATCGTTTAACCCTAGATCTTTTATGGCAGTTAAACATCGTTCGTAGGTCCTTTTTGTTTTATCAGGTAATAGCATAAAAATCATTGGAAACACTGTACCTTTATAATTTCCATGAATTGTGTAGAGTTGGTAAAAAATAGAAGGTACAATTTTAAATGTTCCATCGGCAAACCATTCATCTCAAGATTTCAATATATTCATATTTGTTTCGGTTGCATATATAAGTATACGTTTATCACCACCTGAGTCATATTGTAGAAATTTATCGTTTTTGCTTGTCTCTGTGTACTTCAATGGAATTTCGAAATCACGTAGATTATTAGGATTTTCTAATACCGGATTTAATTGTCTTCGTATTCGACGCCCAGATTTCACCAAATACAATGCATCAGGTATATTTGCAGCAACAGGAGATGGAATTTTACGAACAGCATTAGCTACAATTTTCTTCATAGATTTATCCGCGGTAGCAGCGTTTTTTTTAATTTTGTTGACTACTTTACGAACTTCCACATTAACGGAATCAGCCGCATGAATTAGAATGTTCATCTTCTTTAACGATAGATCCTACAAATATTTATAAACACAATTTATTATATAAACAGTATATACAACATTAACTAATTTTATAATATCAATAACAATACAAACACGCACCTGTTTTTTTGTCTGATGTTGTTATACACCGCGCTTTACATGCATGCGTTTTATATTATATGCATCGCCAATAAAAATTACCACTGGATGAATGTTGGGAATATATATATCCATTGGAAACAAGTTGCTTCTTTCCTTTTTGGCTAGTTACAAATTCAAGACCCATTGTGATTATTCGGTGGTGATCGCCTTACTAACTGACTGATAACTAACTACTAACTAACATACCGAAAACCAATTGAACTCCAATAATAAGTTGATGACTCATCGTACTTGGGTAGTGACTCATTTACTTAAGTAGTGACTCATAGCATACTTACGTAGAATTATTAATTCATTCATTTGGATTAAATAACGTTAGTTTTGTTGGAAATAGTTTACTTTGCGACATACATGAGGCACTATCTATTAGACGTTTAAAGTAATTACTAGGCCTCTAGAGTAGTCTCTTACATTGTGACATACTCACTCCTGACTATAGCTCTGTACCGATCACACGTACATCTAGAAGTCCTGTGTACAAGACATAATAAAGCTGCAACTACATATAGACGCATATATAATCAAAGTGTTATATTATTACTAGAATAGCCATCCTTCCTACTTTCCACAAATCTATTATAAAAGTCTTTCAGGTTTAGGACCCAACACGCATAGGACGTGTTTTCTTATCTCGAAAGGGATTAGAAAAAGGATTGGCTTTGTGTAGTGCAACGAATTGTGCATAAAGAGTTTTTTTTTTTTTAAAAGGCTTACGCTTTTTAAAAATTTGAAGAAAATCAAATAAACTGGTAAGTTTTTGATTTTGTATCCTAAGAAGTGCATTTTGAATGCTAAATTTAAAAAGAAAATAAATTTAGATGAAATTAAAATTTAGAAGATTTTTAATTTAAAAGAAGTTGAAATTTTAGAAGAAAATAAATTTAGATGAAATTAAAATTTAGAAGATTTTTAATTTAAAAGAAGTTGAAATTTTAGAAGAAAATAAATTTAGATGAATTTGAATTTAGAAGAAATAAAAAAAATTTTAAAAAAAAAAAAAAAATTATTTTTCTCTGTTGCTTGAGAAAAATTATTTAAAATTTTTTTTTTCGACTGTTGTGTATATTACACTAAGTCAAGTTTGAACTTGTTGAAGCCGCCCGGCTCGAGTAATATGATATAGCTATACACATTGTGTTAGTTGCATATATCATAGAACAAAAGCGCGCTTGTCGCGTACAAGTTAGACGGTTTACGACTCTCAGATTCTGAGAATCGGATATCGATGTATATATTTTAGACGAAAAATAATATTGCTCTCAAGAAAATAAATAGAGTAATACAGTTGAAGTAGTTGACTTGTTTAAAATATAGTTGGTTTTGTAAGATTGATAATAATTATAGTTTAAAATTATAATTATTTTAAGATAAGAAAAAAAAATTTTTAGAAGTTTAAACTTGAAATAAATATTTACCAAAATAAATATTTATAAAGTATATCTCGACATTAAATTTAGTTATTACGCAGTCTTTTTAAAAGACTACAAATATATAAATAAAAATAATAACTAATTTAATAATTGTCTCAAGGTAAAGTCTGTAGTACAGCACTAAACTTTGTTTCAATTTAATCGGTTGTTACTCTGGTGTGTGATTGGTATGTCGCACGTGTACGTACGGCCATCCCCGAACATTTCAACGAGCTGTGCCGTTTGTCACGAGGTGGGAGGGAGCACGTATGCCATGCTGTTGCATGCGGGGGTTACAGCTGATTTCACTTTTTATTTACAACTTGCAGTGCAGTTGTAAATGGGGGTGAAATATCAGTCTCTGATAAGTTTGGTATGTTTCAGATTGTTCATAATTAGAAGTTTACTGATATCATAGAAGATATGAACAAAGGAACAATGAATAATGAGCAGAATGATAAAAAAATGCTCGATAATAACGAGACTGAAGATACTCCATCTGAGACGTCAGACAAAAATTTAAAAACAGGTAATTTTGTTTTTAAATTTATTTTAGAAGTGGATCCAAATTTTTTAGAAGTTATTAATAGATGATACTTTAGAAGTTTTATAGATGTTTAGAAGTTCTGTAGATGTTTAGAAGTTTTATAGATGATTAGAAGTTACGTTTATTAAATTAATCGTAAAATAAAATCCAAACTAAAAATAAAATTATTTTATCTATAAAGGGCCTGGAGTATCTGAAAGCCCAACAATGTCGACAACTACTTCTTCAATTACAACGCAGTCAACAATTACTGCAAGTCAGATGAGTACACCAATGACTCAGTCAATTGCTGCTTTTAAGACGAGTACACCAACAACTCTGTCAAGCACCATTGGAAACCCACCGATTTCCACAACAACTCAATCGAGTAGCAGCAGTGGTAGTACCCCTACCACTGAACAGACTGTACAACCAGAACTACTACAGTTCCTGTGTAAACAGCGCGAAAACATCGAGCTTCAAAACAAAGGTTTTGAGGCAATGAAAACCTTGAGCCTAATTAATAAGACATCTGAAAATTTATTGACGGCAGAACGGCTTCGAATGCAAGGTACTCGAGGTAATTTACTTAACTCGACCACTTTTCTAGACGAAAGTTCAACTCATATGGGTGTTGAAATAGAAGCTCAATCCAGCCCGCAAGATATTAACATAGAAGTAACTAAGGCTCTTAATGCTTCGATTACTGCTTTAAAAAGTACACTAGAATCAAGCAAAAAATCTCAAAATTATCAGGTACCAAGAAAATATACTCTTAATTCAGATAGTGACATCAACATTTGGTTGGATAAACTTAAATCTGAATTATCATCAAAAGATCTATTAGATGTTATTGACCCAACGGTCATTGGTCCTGATAATTTAGACGTACAAACAATTACAAAAAAAAAGCAAGCAGTAAGAGAAATCATTACTAGCCATTTAGATGATAAATACTATAAGAGGGTTCTCACTATAACAGACCCTATTATGGTAATAACAAGTCTAAAAGAAGCTAAGAGGGTCGAAAAGAATGTCACTCACACTTCTGTTAGAACGAAGCTGTACGGCATGAGATTGAAACCAAAGGAGAGTATTGATGAATTCTGGAATAAATTCGACAACACCATCGTTGGATATGAGAGCTGTGATAACGCAGTACCTCTGACAGATGAAGAGAAACGGTCAGCTTTTACCAAGCTGTCAGTAAAGTAATTCCAGAAGCTCGAACTGCTGATTTATTGCATCGGCAATTTAAAGGCAGATCAATGACTCTGGTTGAGTTGAGGTCTCATTTGCTGCAGCTGGAAGCTGAGAAGAAGTCAGAAACTTCTCAAGAACAAGACGCGTGGGCAAACCAAGCAAAACGGTTTAAATCACACCATGACAACTGTTATAGATGCAATAAGACGGGTCACTACGTCAAACAGTATCCTTTAGCAGCAACTAGTGAATGGTACTGTTATATTTGTAAAGTGATCACTGATCACAATACAAATTCTTGTCCAAAAAATGAGGACAGTCAAAATTCAGGCAGGTCTGACTACAGACGTGGTCGTGGTCGTGGTAGAGGTAGAGGTAGAGATGCTTTTAGAAGAGGTACGTTCTTCAAAGGAGGTTTTGGTGGCAAATCCAAAGAATACACCAAATCCAAGCCGAAGACGTTCAAAAAGCAAGCAGCCCCACCAAAGGATGGAGATAAAAAGAAACCACAAGCACGACAAGCAGGTATGAATTTTGAATATATAAATAATGTAGATAATATTACGTTTATTGCGGACTCAGGCGCAACTGAGCATATAATTAACAAGAGTTTGATTTTGAGTAATTTTAAACATTGCACAGGCGTGGTAATTAAAAGTGCAAATAAAAATAAGTCAGCTGACATAGTAATAGATGGAGTCGGTGACCTTTACTTAAAATCAAATCTTAGCAAAATAAAATTAACGAACGTATTATCTGCAGAAAATATCGCAAATAACTTAATTTCTCTTAGACGATTTGTAGATGCTGGATTAGGAATATTTTTAGATGATAAAAAATTAGAAATATTCGATAAAGAAACAGGTGAAACATGTTTAACAAGAAAATATGTTAAACCTAACTGGCTTGTTACCTTCGAGGTAAAACATGCTGAGGAGTTTAATAGGCCAAATTACACAACGTACTCTTGTACTGCTGAAATTATTTCTCCAAATGAATTTTCCGAACAATCTCAAACGGTACCTGTTGATTTAAATTTGCAAAAGATGGAGGGAGATTTAGATGTTTTCTCTCATAAATCAACATCATCTGAGCTTGGGAGGGAGAGTCAGAAGAAAAGTCTTTTGGAGAAAAATAGAAGTAATATAGAAGCAGAAATCACAGATTTTTTATTAGAGAGTCATTCCATCTAAAATCGTCTAATTAGCAAAGTCGACTCATTTTAGATTTTGGTGTAACTTTGAGAAACTCTTCTTTAGGGTCCCAAAGAACAAAATTTACACGAGTTTGATTTTTACAAGCGCTTGTTTTCGCCTATTTAAATAAAGACTTTTAAAAATCGATATTTTTAAGGCTTATCAACTTTTACTGTGAAATTTTTCTGTTTGAAGCTATCTGCATGATCAAGATGGAATTCACAGTGGGAAAGATAGTAGTTTAAGGGTAAATGAAGATAATTGGCTCGGACGAGTCCTTTAAATATAAGCAGCGTGCTGAAAATGAGTGTTTTTTAGTCATTTTTCGTGAATTTCAATCAACTCTAGCGTCTTAACTGTTGAGAATTAAAAACTCATGCTCCACGGAAATTAAGTATATATATCATAGTCAAAATTCAGCCACAAGTTGACTTGAGCTGCCCACTCTTCATAGAAGAAAACTTTGCTCGAAGTTTTGAAATTAAAAAAAATTCCAATTTTCAAGTTACGAAACGAGCGTGTTGACTGCGCGATAAAAATCTGATACTCACAGAATCTATTGTTCTTACCTTCAACTTTAAACGACTACATCACTTGTTTTGTTATTTTCATTTTTAGTGCATGTGCGAGCCGTTTTTTTTACAGCAAAAATCTGGACGTTTTTACAAATGGATTAAAATTACTTACCATCAGAAACAACTATAAATATGAAAAATTTTTCTAGTCTCAATAAAGTTATGGATATTTGGGGTGTAAAATTGTCTTTAGAAGTAATTATTATCGAAAATGACAATAACTGTAAACAATTTTTCAACTAGAACATTATTTTTTATTCAACCGTTTACGGATTGGTTTTACAATATTAACAATATCAAAATTATCGGAAGCTGAATACTTCCGCGCTTGTAATTGATTTTGAGAAATTGGTATAAAGCTATGATATGATCTCGTATTTTTTATTGTATTTATATTTATAAATCTTTCAGATAAAAATGTCTCAGCAGCTTCTACATCCTGGCTTGATACAAAAAAAAATTTTATACCAGAAATTTGATTAGAACAAAAGTCGTGCATTGCGATTGGAGTTAAAATATGGTCATCGGTAGTTCGCTGCAAGCTTACTCTTCTTACGGTCCTTTTGATCGTACCACCTGCTCCATCGCATGGACTTTTACCATGAGAAGTGGCAAAGAAATGCCACTCTGCTTTTAATCCAAAATCCGCTTCATGACGACATATATTTATAAAATTTTTTTTATTTTTGTATTGTGCGGCTGCTCCATCACTGAAGTAATAAATTTTTTTAAACTCCGGATAACTGTTTTTAATGTAATCGAGAAAAATTTTTTGAAATGCAAAAAACGATACTGTATTGTGAGTAAGATAATCACTAATCACACATAAAGTTTTTGTCTTAAGTAAACCGTCTTCTTTAAAATAAATTACAAAGGGATGTAGAGTAGCTTGATTATTTGTCCAATGAAACGATTGTACTTCATCTTGTACCATGAATGCATAATTTTCTGAGAAATCAACTAATGCTATACACTCTGAATTGTCTTTTAAATTTTCTTTCAGGTTTCTCAAATACTCAGATTGTTTTTTTGAAATAAAATGATGAGGTTTTAAAGTTGTCAATTGTATTTTCAAATCATCTTTAAATTCATCGACATTCTTAACTACAGTTATTAAATTGCAGCGATCAGTAGAAATCCATTGCTTAAAATTAATTTCAGATGACAATTCACACTCATTACATATATCGGAATCAATAACATCAGTGCCTGGACATTCTTTACAGCTATATAACATACATTGTTCACTGCTATCATTACAAACTATCTTTTTCAGTAATTCTTTATAGAGAAGTTTAGTTTTACACGCCATTAACATTAACTTCATATTTTGATGGATCAAACAAACACATACTGAATGTGTACCACTTGCCCCAGCCAAAACACAGTTCTTCGGTCGAAGTGAAGCAAACGACGAGAATCCTATGGCTAAGTTTGGATGAATTTGCTTGAATTTTTCATAGGCTTCTTTCAAATTAAATAAGATTAAACGTTTTTGTTCTTTAGACTTTCCGTTATTCTTATCGCGTACAGTTACACAATCTCTTTGACCTGGCATCAATCTACTAATATCATCATCTTCGAAAAATTTTATAACAGCTTCAACAATTTCTGTTTTCAACTGACGTCCACTTTCTTTTTTTGGAGCCTTCGCTAATACTCCATATTGTGCCCTCAGTGTTTTAGCTTTTTTTACAAGATATTCACTACATTCAAATTCTGACTGTATTTTAGAAATTGTCCACTTTTTCGGTAATAAACTTAAAATTTCATATTTCTCGTCAAACGTTGTAGATGCTTTAAATTTCATTTTCAATTCATCGATTAACTCTAAATAGTCTGCATTATAACAAATATGATCATTGTCTTTTTTATTATTTTCATGTTCCACAACATCAAAAGTAGCTTCTAATTTTTTTCGTATTTTACTTGATATTTGATCTACTTTTTCATCAATTTTTCGTTTTCTTTTTGATATACTTAATTTTTGTATAGGTGGGATTGGTGACTCTTCTACGATTGAACAAATTTTATTAAGTGAATCTAAAACTTCGTACTTAGGATCAAAAGATACCCCAAGATCATCAAAATTTCGCGATAATGTATCGGTAATATCATAATTTTCATTTGTTTCGGTTTTTCGTAAATTTTCCATACAACGTGAACAAAGTGCTCGGCCTGGTATAAGGTTAAGATTCTCATTTGCTTCACAAAACTCTACAGTTATTTCCCGCAAGGACTTAAGAATAGGTTTTTTATGAGCACTTGATGGATCACAACATTTTTTTCCAAACAAAGAAAAATAATAAGTCACATATTTTTATAATGATATGTACAGATATCTGTGAAAGATACTGCTTGAATTCGTTTAGTTAATAAGTATTTCTCATGTTCATTCAGATTATTTTGATCGATCAACTCTGATGATCGTGAAAACGTTAATTTATGGCAATCTTCTTTCAACAATAAACCAATCGAACACTCCATTACTTTTTTTAAGAATTGAGAAATCACAATACACATCAACTTACTAAAACAACCAAACTGAACAAAAGAACGCTCTCTGGAACAATGACAATTGGGCTTTTATAGACAAAGAGTTAAGGTTCTTTAAAAATCCGCCACGGCCAAATGTCGCTGCTCTTCCGCTTAATTACTACCATGCAACCTAACTTGGTCGGGGAGAGCACGCGACAAGCGAAGAGTGAGTGAAACAATAGCGTTAAGCTGATGCGTGAAATTTGACACCGATAATCTAAGAAGTTTGTTTACTTTTCCATTTTGCTTACTTTTCCAATCGACGGCATCGAATCACAAAAAAATATATAAATTGGAAAGTGACAGAGATTAAGTTATTAGTAATTTAATTGATACTTATGAACTCGAATTTACTTCTCGAGTATACTTATATTGTTAATAATTAATAATATTTCTAATTTTTCATTTCAATTTACGTCTATTCTCACTTACTTTTCAATGCAATGCAGTCAAATATTGAAAATAAGCTTATCTCTATACGCATGCATGAAAATATATAACAATTCTGTTGTGAAGACAGTATTTTCATAGACAAAAAATTGAGATAAAAACTACCAGTTATTTAAAAAAAAAAAAATTGAGTTGATTTTTGCTATAAAAAAAACGGCTCGCACATGCACTAAAAATGAAAATAACAAAACAAGTGATGTAGTCGTTTAAAATTGAAGGTAAGAACAATAGATTCTGTGAGTATCAGATTTTTATCGCGCAGTCAACACGCTCGTTTCGTAACTTGAAAATTGGAATTTTTTTTAATTTCAAAACTTCGAGCAAAGTTTTCTTCTATGAAGAGTGGGCAGCTCAAGTCAACTTGTGGCTGAATTTTGACTATGATATATATACTTAATTTCCGCGGAGCATGAGTTTTTAATTCTCAACAGTTAAGACGCTAGAGTTGATTGAAATTCACGAAAAATGACTAAAAAACACTCATTTTCAGCACGCTGCTTATATTTAAAGGACTCGTCCGAGCCAATTATAAGACATGTCAGATTTAATGAAAAACTAGTTTATAAGGATATTTACAAAACAAAAGATTTAGAAGTAGATGATAATTCAATTGATGGGAAAATAGATTCTGAATCTTCTGATGCAAATACTCCTGTAACAAAAGACTCTAAAGATAAACTAGTTAATTCAGACAAATCTAAAAAGCGTAAATTAGATGAAAATGTATCAACTGATACAAAATTTAAGAAGTTGAGAGCTTCAAAAAGAAAACCAAAACCCAAGATAGATGATAACTTCGTTTATGCCAAAACAATAAAAAGGTTCACGATTGTAGATGAAGAAGATTTTATACATGCTATGCTTTCTTTTATCAACAAGGATCCCGGTAATTACAAAGAGTGTTTACTGCGGGAAGACTGTGTTGATTGGATGAAGGCAGTTAAAGAAGAATTAAAATCAATAGATGATAACAAAGTCTACAATCTAGTAAAAAGACCTGTAGATGCTAATGTAGTGAACTCTAGATGGGTTTTTAAAACCAAAATTGGCAAAACTGGAGAAACCATCTATAAAGCTAGAGTGGTTGTAAGAGATTTTCTAGATGTAAACGAGTATGAGCTGAAAGAAACCTATGCTCCAGTTTCAAGACTTCCAGTAATCAGATTAGCACTAGCAATCATAAATAAACTTGATTTAGACGCAAGACAAATGGATGTAAAAACTGCCTTTCTGTATGGGACTCTGGAAAAAGCAATTTTTATGGAGATTCCAGAAGGCTATGATTGCAGTGATGAAATCAGAGAAAAGATGGTCTGGAAGCTTGAAAAATCTCTTTATGGATTGAGGATCAGTCCTAAGAGATGGAACAAAAAGTTCACTGAAGAAGCACTGAAGCTAGGCTTGGAGAATGATCTAAATGAGCCATGCTTATTT